AAAATTTGATACAGATTCTTTGATCCATTTTTTGGAATAGGCAAAAATCGAAGACGAGCCAAAACACGTGCAAGCAAAGCAGCTGTCAAAAATTAACTGAACATTCAAAATGGCCGAACTTGTCGGCATAAGTGAGAGACATGAGTACCAACATAACGCCACAAAAAATCGAAAATCGAATATACGTAACCCGCGGAAATTCAAAATTCGCGATACTTTTTGAACATACCTCGTATATACATATATATATGTATACATATATATACATATATATATATATATAATAATGTATGTATATACATATATATTTATACATAGGATCCCTATCTAAAGCTTATTCGAAAATGGTCTTTTTATTCACTGTAAAAAAGTTTTTCTTAACAATTTTTTGAAACAATGAGACATGAATGAGACATAAATTGATATTACGAGAAATAATATGAAATTTGTCTGAAATTCCGGTATTCGTTTTTAAGAAATCATTGAGCAAAGTAAGTAAAGTTGCTATTTTATTGACCGGCGGCAGTAGTGAAGGCGGGAGGCATTTTATATTATATAAAAAACTTATATAAAAACATTAACACTTATGGAATATCTTATACTAATAAAAGTGAAATAAATTTTCATAAAAATTTTTATAATGGTGAACATTAATGTGCTTATTAGGTTGAGCATAACTGCAGTTGGAAAAAGTCCTTAAGACATGAACTTAAGCCAATGAGTCAATCAGGATACTGCTTTAGATCTATGTACTCTAACAGAAATAGAAATAGCAGTAAACTTATCCATAAGGCGAATTTCAATTGGTTGAAATTCACCTTATTGTAAGGTTATGGATAAGTTTACTGTTATTTCCATTTCCGTTAGATTATGTAGACCTAAAGCAATATCCTGATTGCCTCATCGGCTTAAGTTTATGTCGTACGGTTACTATTACAGAATTTTGTATGCGGCAGCCCTTACAATTACATTCAGTCTTTTCGCGTTATTTGCACTTTTTGCACTTAACATTTTCGCTTTCTCTCTTTTTTTAATGTCTGAATATACAGGGTGTCCCATTTTAATCCCCCACCCGAAATATTTTGAA